AAGAGTGTAATTTACTCTATACTTTATCATTCATCGAGATAAAAAAAAATTGTGTCAATGTGAAATTTTAAAATAAAATATATAATAGTAGGTGTATAGATTTTTTTTTCAAAAATAATAATAAAATAATTTATTTTAATAATATTGATAATATAAGTTTAATTAATTTATTTAATCAAACTTATAATATAAGTAAAGGGTGTTTTTAATAAATAAAGTTGAGTTAGGAAGTATATTTGAGAGGATGCTTTGGATTTGGACTCTTGAGTCCAACTAGAGTCTTGTTTAAAAGAGAGACAAAGAGGGTAAGTTTAGATTATGTATCAATTTTCTTACAACCTTAAGATCATGGAGTAGTCTTGGAATGACAGAGATTGTGCTTATGCATTAGAGATTCTCATCTAAGATAAGACCACCCCTAAGTCTCCATAGGAATTATTTTGGTATGTGTTTGATGATCTCAATATTATTATGAAATTATTGTTGTGTGTAGATGACGATGAAATTTGTTGATCTTGATAATTGAATGGTGATATGTTATGTATGGTGAATAAATTAAGAGTTAAGGTTGTATACATGATTTAAAAGTTTGGTATGATTTGTTTGATTATGAAATTATTGATGTATGATTATTTATTTTTAAATAATTATGTTGCGTATTGAGTAACCTTGAGTAATTATATGTTGTAATACAAAACAGAAAAAAGAAGGGAACACAAATCTTCACCTGAGAAAAAAACTGGAGTGTCTAGTTCAATAAATTTGTACCATAAATTATAATTAGCAATTGACATTATTAAAAAAAACGCATAGAAACAAAAAAAAACTCAGCAAAATTTTATTTTATTTCTTTGTTTTTCTTCTCCAACGAATTGTAATGAGCCTTGCATCGAATCCCATTTGAAACCACTAAATTCACTAGAAGTTGAGTTTTGTGGAGAGCCATTTAAAGCCAATCTTTATCATAACATTGATGTTACTATATTTGTTGTACACACCCATAATGAAGACTTTAGACAACCATTATTCTTTCCCAATATGCTACTATATATCATCATTACCCTAAATATAATATTGGTAATTAGTTTTTATTTATAATTTTTTTTATTTTTATTACATATATGTATTTTTTTCACTTTGTGCATATGTCTCCGCAGTTCCATTGGGATAACTCGTGCTTGTAGTATATGTATATATTTCTTTTGCACTAACTCATCTATAGTATCAATATATTTCAAAGATATTAAGGATGTAATATATTTATATTTATAAATAAATAAATAAATTTTGTGTGCTTGCACTTCAAATTTACAACAAAAATAAAAAGGTGGAAGTCCTTTTGGACCTTCACTAGGGAATACATCACCAAATTCTTTCAAAAGATTTTGAACCCCTTGTGGTAGAGAACATGATTCAAGAGAAGTATTATTACAATTTAACACACTTCTACAAAGAAGAAAATAAGAAGGTTGTTCAACAAAGAGAGTTCTTTTAGTTTCATTGATTTTCTCTTGTTGACTACCTTCTAAAGGAGAAGTATTAACCTCTTCATCCTTGTTCTTCTTTGAAGATTTGTGTTTTTCCTTTTCTTTGTTTTATCGTTCTTTTATTTTTCTTGTTTCTT